CCGGGCCCGCCCTCACCCAGGCCCGCCGGGCCCGCCCTCACCGAGCCCCCCCAGGCCCCGGGCCCGCCCTCACCCAGGCCCGCCGGGCCCGCCCTCACCGAGCCCCCCCAGGCCCCGGGCCCGCCCTCACCGCCTCCCGCCACACCGCGGCCTCCTCTGGCCACGCCCCTTTCCCGGTAACCACGCCCCCTCCCACAGCCCCGGGCCTCACCGAGCCCGCCCCATTCCAGGCCACGCCCCCACACGGTAAAGCCGCGCCCTCTCCCCCTCACACCGACCACGCCCCCGGGCCCCGCCGCGCGTGCGCTGCGCGGAGCCGCCTCATCCCCTGCAGGCGGCACTAACGGTGCGGGCGCGCTGCCGGTAAGCGGGACGGGAGCGAGGGGAGCGGCCCGCGGCCTCCCGCTCCAAGGGAGCGGCCGCTGCCCTGCGGGCGCGTGCGTGGGAGCGGGCGGGCGCGGGAGCGCTGCGCATGCGCAGTGAAGACCCTCGCGCTCTTTTTCGCTCGGCGTGAGGGCGGACGGCGCGAATTTGGGCACCGGCGCATGCGCGGAGAGGGCGGGGCCTGCGTACGGCGGCCGAGTGGGGCCGTTCCGCGCTCGCCTTTTGTCCGGCGGCGGCGGCCGGCGGGGATCCAGGTGGGTCGTGAGGGAGAGCGGGGCCGTGGTTGCGGCCCAGAGCTCCCCCAGCACCGCCGCCTTCCTTCGGGGCTCTCTCCGCGTCGCTGGGAGCTGCTGGCTGGGATCCCCAGGCTGGCGGGGCCTGCTGAGGGGTGCGGGATGCTCCAGGGCCCGGGGGAAGCGGGGCAGGGCGGGCTGAGGGCCCGGGGCCGTGACCGGGCACGGTGTCCCCCGTGCTGTAGCCAGAGCCCTGTCACAGCGACAGATACTGAAATCCCATCTAAACGCTGCTGAAGTGTCTCCTTATCCCTCTTAGCTGCCATGTTTCCCCCATTAAATATAAAACCGGGCCATGCGTTTGTATATTTTTAACCCAGAGTTCTGAGCTTTTGTCTGGAGGAAGAACAAGCCCCTTGCTGTGTTTCGTCTTGTCACTGGGAGGTTTTGCACCAAAATTAGCTGTGGCCTCTCTCAGCAGCAGCACACGGAGGTGGATCCATCCCATCCCAGGAAAATGGGGTCCAAACAGATCGCCCAGGAAACGTTTGATGATGCAGTGCAGGAGAACATCACCGAGTTTGAGATGGATCCCGAGGAGGCTGTGAGAGAAGCTGTGCTGCAGTTCGAGTCCCAAGGTATTGCAGCTCGGGTTGTTACGGGCTTGAGGTTTTTACAAATCCAAAGGTTTAAAAGAATCCTGCAGGCAAAGATGGATCATGCAGCATTGGAAAGGAGTCTTTGTGAAGTGGAACAGAGACACCATTAATGCTGACCTGGTTTTGTGGATTAATTATGACTGCAAAACTGCTTAGAGGGAAGCTGGAGGGCAAAATTTGGTCAGTGAAATTAAATTCTTTCTTTTTCTCCCCCCGCAACTGACATCTAGCTTTGTTCCAGGCTGAATTTGACCTTCCAGTCAGAATTGAACATTTCAGCGTCTTCACAACAAGTTCATCTTTGTTCCCTGTGGTTAACTTGGCAGCTCTTCCCTAGAACTGGAACTAATACTGTTTATTTGACTCTCATTGTCCTGGAACCAATATTAAACTTGGTTTTATTTCCCATTTTAGGTGTGGACCTGAGCAATATTGTGAAAGCTGTGCGACCTCCTGCCTCTGAGAACGGGCAGAGGCAAAAGCATCAAATCCTGCTGGTAGGAGCACAAATTGATGTTGTCTCCTAAGGATCAGCCTTATATAAGAATAATATTATAAGTACTAGGCCAACTTGTGCCTCTGCCCCATTTCTCTGGGAGCTTTTCAAGCAGTTAATCCCATTTCTTGTGCAAGTATAAAAATTCCAGGAGCTCCTTGCACTTTTCAGGGGAGGGTCTGTGTGAGGGTGAGGGTCGGGTTCTGCTCCCAGGGGCAGGGCAGGAGGGAATGGCCTCAAGGTGTGCCAGGAGAGGCTCAGGTGGGACATGAGGAGGGGTTTCCTCATGGGAAGGTGTGGCAGGGGCTGTCCGGGGAGGTTTGGGGTGTCCATCCCTGGAGGTGTCCAGGGAATGACAGGACGTGGCACTCGGCGCTCTGGGCTGGTGACAAGGTGGGGATCAGTTCCACTTATCCCAGGCTGCTCCAGGCCCTGTCCAACCTGGCTGTGGACACTCCCAGAGCTGGAATGAGCTGGTTAGACCCAGTTCACGTGCTCCTGGTCAGCCTGGTGCCCAGTGGAGTGGTGACAGTGGTGGCAGAGTGACCCTTGCCCCTCCATGGCTTCTGTGCACGGAGCTGCTCTTGGGCACAGCCACTGGTGCCATAAACACCAAACCGATTTTAGACTTCAAAACAAACAGATAGCCCGCAGTCCAGGTGCAGAACTAACCCTCGGTGTGTCCCTCAGACGCTGGACTCGCTGGCCAGAGCCGTGGCAGAGGCAGATATGGGCGAGTTGCCCCAGCAGCTCTCAGCCTTCGCTGCACAGTGCAAGGAGCAGCTGGCCTTCCGCTACCTGGCCGGCCAGAAGGGCGCCTACCCCGTGGTGTTCTCAGCCTGCCAGCTGGCTGCAGGAGACAGGGAGTTACTGCTGCAAGCCTTGTGCACGCTGTCAGCCCTGCTGGACGGGCAGCCAGACCTGCTGGATGCCGCTGGGCAGGAGCTGCTGCTGCAGAGCCTGCGGGAGCGGCGCGACGACGCGGACATGACGCTGGCCGGGATCCGCTGCCTCCGGCACGCCTGCCTCAAGCACGAGCAGAACAGGCAGGACTTTGTCAAGGGGGGGATCCTCCCTCTCCTCACCGGGGCCATCGTCCAGCACGGGCACAGCGCCGAGGTGGTCAGGACAGCGGCCTCGGCGCTCAGGATCATGACGTTCGATGACGACATCCGCGTGCCCTTCGGACACGCCCACGACCATGCCAAGATGATTGTCCTGGAGAACGATGGGCTGAGAGTCCTCATTGAGGCTGCTAAAGGTAAAATTCACCCTGGGCATGTTGGTGCTAATGGGGAGTCACCCGGGATTCCTTCTCTCACTGCCTCTGGAATCACCTGTGATTCCTTCTCTCACTGTCTCTGGAATCACCTGTGTTTCCTTCTCTCCTTGTCTGATTTCTTCTCTCATAGTCTTGGGAATCACTTGTGGATTTCTTCTCTCATTGTCACAAGAATCATCTGGGATTTCTTCTCTCATTGTCTGATTTCTTCTGTCACTGTCTCTGGAATCACCCGGGATTCCTTCTCTCACTGTCTCTGGAATCACGTGTGGATTCCTTCTCTCACTGTCTCTGGAATCACGTGTGGATTCCTTCTCTCATTGCCGGATTTCTTCTCTCATTGTCATAACTTGAAGCTCCTCAGAGGTGATTCAGGAATTTGTCACTCAAATGGGGTTTAATTAATGAAATGTGCCCTGAGAGAGCCAAAAAGTGCCACTTGGTGGTGCTGATAACCTGTGGAGCAGCCAGACTGTCAGAGCAGTTTTTCACTGTATTTAGGGAATATTTTCCACCTCTAAGTTGTCTCTGCTGAGGTGCTCCTTGCCCAGAGAGCACATTGTGACTCTGGCTGGGAGCAGAGTGAGCAGGTGTCATCTCCTGTTTTAATACATAAAACACGCTGTTTCCTGTTTAATTAACCACAATTAACCACCTTAATCGTGCAGCAGTCCTCTCTCCCTCGTCTCTCCTCCTCAGCCTTCACAGATAACTCGGGGGTTCTGAGCGAGCTCTGTGCCACCCTGTCCCGCCTGTCTGTCAGGAATGAGTTCTGCCAGGACATCGTGGACCTCGGGGGCCTGAATTTCATGGTGACTCTGCTGGCTGACTGCATGGAGCACCCGGTGAGCACCGGGGAAGGGTTTTGGGGATGCCCTGGAGCTCACTCTAAGGAATGTCAGGAAAATTAATCCACGAACAGCAGAAGTTTGTGGCCAAAAATGAGACAGAGGAGTCCTGTGACTTTATTTGAATAAAGGGAGAGGCCCTGGGGCAGAAAAGTTGAATGTTTGGTTTTCCACCACTCCAGCTAGGAGAGATTCAGGAGAATTTGAATGCTCAAAGATCTGATTTTTAAAGCTTCACTGATGGTCTGGCAGAGATTTTCAAGGTCTCTTACGTGGCAAGGAAGTGACTGAGGGCAGAGTTGTCACAGCTCATGATTGCCCCAGACATCGCCGTGCTTGGGTGACAATTCTGGCCACCCACCAATACGAGGGACACCCCTTCCCCCAGAGTGGTGGGGGACATTCCTGCTTTGTTTTCCAGGCTCTCTGCTGCTTTCTGAGCTGTTTTTTTTCTCCCTGGAGCAGGACGTGGTGAAGCAGGTGCTCAGCGCCATCCGCGCCGTGGCCGGCAACGACGACGTCAAAGACGCCATCGTGGACGCCGGGGCCACCGAGCTGATCGTGCTGGCCATCAGCCACCACCTGGGCAACCCCCAGGTAACCTCCAGGGGCTGGGAATTCCCTCTGGGATGGGGCTGGGGCTCAGCTCGAGCTGCAGGATGGGTGTTTGTAGTGGATAAACCTCCAGCACGCTCGGCCGTGGAGCGAATATTGGTGTGAATTTCGGGTTTTCCACCTTAAAAATGGTTTTATTTTTCTTATTCCTGAATCAGGGAATAGCAGTGGGGCAGAATGGGTAGTGGGGACAGTGTTTGACACTTCTGCAAAACAGAATCCTGAAGGTTGGAAGCAGCTCCGAGATCACGATTCCAACCCTGCCTTTGGTTTGCGTGCCTGATGCCGCAGAGGGAGAAACCAAAACAGCAAAAACCACTCCCCAACCGCCCCAAAAGGACAGAAGCCGCACTTGTGTGTGCCTGGGCGGCCCATTTGCAGGCGGTGAGGGTGTGTGTGGCCTGTGTGTTGCAGATCTGTGAGCAGGGCTGTGCTGCCCTGTGCGTGCTGGCCCTGCGCAAGCCCGAGAACTGCAGCGTCATCATGGAGGGCGGCGGGGCCCTGGCAGCCCTGCAGGCCATGAAGGCTCACCCACGAGAGGTGGCTGTCCAGGTATGGCCCTCACGGCTCCTGCTCACTTTGCTTCAGGTCGTGTGTCTCTGGGATTTTTTTTTTCCCCAGTACTCATAGAATTCTGTGCTCGCCTGCAGAAAGCATTGATCCCTCTGCTTCCCTGCAAAACTCCCTGTGATTCCCTAGAAAAACCCCTGACCACTGTCCATCCCTAAAAAACAACTAACCTTGTGCTTCCCTAGGAAAACTCCTGACCCTGTGTCCCCCTAAAAAACCCCTGAGCTTCCCCACAAAAGCCCCTCTGCTTCTATACAAAAACCCCAGTGCTTCCCTAGGAAAACCACTCTGCTTCCCTAAAAAAACCACCGACCCCTGTGTCCCCCTCAAACCCCCCGACCCCTGTGTGCCCTGCAGACCCCCGGTGTGCCCTGCAGACCCCCCGTGTCCCCCTCCATGGCCGGTGTCCCCGAGCCCTGAGCCGTGTGCTGTCCCCAGAAACAGGCGTGCATGCTGATCCGGAACCTGGTGTCGCGCAGCCGGGACCTGTCGCAGCCCATCCTGGCCATGGGGGCCGAGCTGCTGATCGCCGAGGCTCGCGCCGCCCACCGCGACTGCGACGACGTGGCCAGGGCTGCCCTCAGGGACCTGGGCTGCCAAGTGGAGCTGAGGGAGCTCTGGACGGGCCAGAAGGGGAGCCTGGCTCAGTGAATGCTGCTCTCGCCAAGCAGGGAAGATCCAAGGCCCCTCTGGAATGGCGTGGGAGAAGCCGCAGGCGGGGATTGTTGCCCAGCTGGGAATGCCCGAAGCGGACGTGGCTTGGGGAGAGGCTGCAGGGAACTTTTTCTTTTTTGCCTCGGGAGCTACAGCTGAAATGGCTTTTCTGCATTCACAGGCTGCAAAATCAGCTCAGTGTAGTGATCATTGCCTGGGTCATCTCATGGCTGAAGATGATCTGCTCCCCCCCGGCGTGCAGGACGGGGCTGTTGGCCCTGCTCTGGTCCCCGTGGTGACAGCAGCAGTGGCTCTCTCCTGCCCAGAGTCTGGCTGCTGCTTTGTCCCCTGCTCAGGGGCTGGATGAGGAGGAATCCCCCAGCGTTTGTGAACGTGCTCTCCTCTCCGTTCCATTCCCCCGTTCTTTTACTGCTGACCCTACTCTCGTGTCGCTGCTTTGTTTGGGAATTTTCCGCCAGCGTAAGGTTTTAAACAAAAAAAACAAAAAAAAGCCAAGTAAGGATTTGGGATAATATCCAAAGGAACTGTTGGAATCCAGGAGGAAAGTTCACATTCTCCCTCAGAGCGAGGGGCAGGGCAGGGGCTGGCCGTGGGGGTGGCAATTCCAAAGCGGGGCCGAGCTGGTGCAGGAAGCGCTGGGAATGCCAGCCTTGGTCACCTCTTAGGCCTGCCCTGGATCCAGGAATGCTTTCCTTGTAGCGAGGAGGCCGAGCCCCTGAGGGACTGGGGGCAAAGCTGTGCATGTGTGGGCAAAGGCAGGCCCCAGAGAGGCCCCGAAGTCTGAGCTGAAGGCTTTTGTGCCAGCCCTGCTCTGGTGCTGAGCCTTCCTCCCGCGCCGCTGCCGCCGCTGTTTTTGTGAGTGGATGTTTTGAATGTGATATTCTCTGTAGAAATGGTGACCTTATAAAAACATGACAAACCTTCCAGGGCCGCTTGGCTCTTTGTGGAGCCTTTTTTTTTTTTTTTTTTTTTTTTTTTTTTT